TTTTTTTTTTTTTCTCCTGCCAAAGCACGACAAAATAAGACATGACAGCTTGAGATTATGCAGGATCCGATGCTCAGGATGAAGTATCTATAAGGCCATATAAAATCCAGAGTGTATTGATACCAGGAGTTGCACCACTGCGCGCTCTCTCCATTTGAACTCCCCGTGTTGCCTTCAGTATGTGCGGCGTGATTGACAGGTTGAGTTTAGCGGGATGACAGAAGCAGCAGTCGGCACAATGTTCAGAGGAGTTCGCACAAACACCTCCACACACATGTACAGCATTTACCTGTCTCTTTAGCTTAGCGCTGTGCTGTTTTAATGGGTCCTGCCAACAGGCCAATACCCACGCACGGTGGAGATACTGTGTGCTCGTAGGAAACCCAGAAAAATCAAAAGTGTGTTTAATAAACGCTATACAACGGATTGGTAGCCACCGGGCAGCATGAAGGAGGAAAACACATGTAGAAGGATATAAAGTACAGCCGGGTGAATAAAGGGGAGACAGATGGAGATTGACAGAGGTGGTGAGAATAGATGGAGTACACTTTTTCAGAAGTCTCCTTGTTTAATGCAGCGTTGGAGATGATGTGTAAGAGATAGAAGGAAGGGGGAAGAAAAAGAGACGGGCGATGGAAAGGAAAACTCTGGAAGAATCGATAGAGAACAGGGTTGTATATATAAATATATGAAAAAGATGAAAAATAAAAAAAGAACAGATGAGGGGAATAAAATAAAAAGCAGAAGGGACACGTTAAAAAAACTAAGCATAACCTTTATTTGACGTGTTTTACTTACTACGTTAAAGAAAGACAGCACAAAGTGTTGAGACAAGGACAGCGACGACTCCACGTCTATGACTTTATTACGCCGGCGAAAAGCACCGAGTTGTGTTTGAAGGCTGGACGAGGTGTAAAAAAAAAAAAAAAAAAAAAAGGTAAAGAGCAGCCTGTAGCTTTTTAAAAAGTGTGCGGTAGAAAGTCAGTTAAATTAAAGTGACAAACTGTGCATTTAGTATTCAGTCCAACATCTATCACTCTTCAAGGTGACGCGGACATGTTCCATGAGGTTATTTGGGAAAAAATATTGCTTATCCTCAAAGAACAATATTCTGGGTTCTGAAAGATCATATTAAAGCTTCTTTGATGTGGCTTTTTGACTTTGTCCAGATGAGTCAAGACAAATTTGATGATACTGGAGGCCGAATAACAACTGACAACATTTTGTCATTGTCCCCTTCACTAGATATGTTTTATAGCTTTTACAACGTTCTGGTAATATTTCCTATTTTAAAAGACAAACCCAGGCTGCTTCAGAGTAGGTGCTTCACGAGTACTCAGACCGAACACTTTTGGGTTCTTGATGCATGTGTAGTGATTCGGCTGATGAAGAAAAAAAAAAAAAAATCTAATTCGGTCTATTTGTGATTTCTGGTATTTTAGCATTTTCACTGCTTGGTTCCTCTTTGATTTAAATGTAATATTACATCATAGTTAAAGACTGAGGCAGCTGGGATTTTTTTTTAATAAAATATTTACTGATGTGAGAAATTAGATAAGAAGTAAATCTATTTTTGCACACACCTCCATTTACCCAGTAATTATCACGACTCACGGGTCATGCCCCGGTGATTGATTGCTTTTTTTTCACTCTATTTCCTGGGTTTTACTTTGAAAGTTTCTGATAAACTATTCTGTTTAATGGGCCTTTGATGCAGCATCAGCAGCAAACTTTTTCCCAGATGAATAAAATGCATTGACATCAATGTTTTTTTTTTTTAATGTTATTCAGGTCGATGCCATAATTTAACATTGTGATGTGTTCCTCAGCTTGTTCGTCGTGCTGCACTCCATTTGGTCTGTGAAACACGGAAGTGAATTTCAGGTGAAAGACCTGAGGTCGTTAAGTTTGAAGTACCGTCCGTGGTGAGGAAGGAGAGTGGATTAGCTGATCACAGAACAGCCTTAATTCAAACCTTTGGAGCCCTGCCATGATAACTGACATTTGCTCACTTACATTTACACAAACACACCCGCACGCACGCCCGGACATACCCACGCACACACCCACTGACACCGACATATGATCCACAGCAGCTGTACGAAGAGGGAACAGAGTCCATTTAACCCAAGGACTCCGGACTCCGGACTCCGGCGGCCATATTGACCTGATGTCACTCGCGAATGAAAGGAGAGCACAAGGACACACTTGCCTGCAGTCTCAACCTCTGAGTTACTGATCTTTGAGGCAGGAAGCGTGTTTCATTAATTCACGCACTAAAACTGAAATACACAAACTGTTGCCGAAGACTCTGCGACAACTTCAAGGCCCTATCAGTTGAGTTTTTAAGGAATAAAAAAATGACTTGTTAGAAAAATTAACATCCTTCTTCACCTACTTTTGGATGTTTTTACTGCAAAAATATGTGGCAATATTTCAGCTGTTAATGCTAAAGTATAGTCTTTTTTTCTTTTTTTTTTAAGGTAGCATGTGGCTATTACTGAGCTAATGTAAAGCCACTTTGGCTAAATATTAGCTTCCCCTAACCTTGGTATGGGTTCTTATTGCTTTAACTCAATCACAACATATTTTTAGTTTATAATTTATATTTATGTATTTATAGATATACATTCTATCCCTATATGGCCTTGAAGTCAAATATTATTTAAAAATAATTTTATATATATATATACTGTATATTCTATCCATATCCTCTTTTGAACTCTTGTGCATTGACAGAATGTTTATTCCCATGAGTGCGTCTAAAAGTTTCCTATGCAGCATCAGGCAGGATTGATCAGCCAATATTGATGAGAATCATTGACTGTGAGGAACATTGATTGCGGTATTGGTAATTAGGACATCGTGAATAATCGACAGAACAGTATTGAACACTTAAAGGGGTGAGGACAAAAAGGGGATGGGAAAGGTTTTAAAATCATTTAGAAAAAGGAGAGAAAACAGAAAAAGTAAAAACAAATGTATTATCCTGATAATTGGATTAAAGATATGGATTTTTGGTAATTAGTGCAATTATTATTGAATTTCACATTAGTGGACCAGTGAGAGTATGTTAGCTCATTAATGGAAATTGAAAAAACTATTTTAACAAACTCAAAAATATGAACCTGGATACTGTGTAAAAAAGAATATGACTGAAGAAAATGGTAAAAATGGAAAAGCCATATGAGGGAATTAAGAAAATAGTGGAATATAGAAAAGGAATCAAAGAGCTTACAGGTTCTTGACATTGGTGATTCCTCTGAAAGCTTTCCTGGGAACCGCCTGGATCTGGTTCTCACTCAGGTCTCTGGAGAAAAAGAGGAGGAACAAAGAAAGAAAAATGAGTTTAAAGTGCTCATCAATACATTCATTTGGATGATGAACCCAAACCACAGATTTGTTATACCAGGTCACACACAGACACACGTGATTATGTGCATTACAGCTAATTACAGTGGAAAGGCCGGAGGACAGAAACAACAGAAAACAAAGACGTTGGCTTGAAACAACTGTCACATTTATGATCAATGGAAGAAATTGATCCAAAAAAAGTGTGTGTGTGAGTGAGAAGAGAGAGAGAGGAAGGGAGAGACAGTGCTGAAGAAAAAACAGGAGATGTGGTTAAGAGTACAGTGGTTTTCTTATGTTGTAATGTAACAGTTGATAAAAAGAGTCACACGCCAGTAACAGTTACTGCTGGAGGATGAAGGAACACAATAACCCACATTAACGCTGTAACATTATAACTTTACTCATTTCACACACACACACACACACACATACACACTGTGTTTAGCGTTTTTTCTTCTTTGGTAATAATTACATATAGTAGACACGAAAAAAAACTACAAAAAATGATGTTTATATATATACATATATATATGTATATATATATGTATATATATATATATGTATATATGTATATATATATATGAAAAAAACTACAACAACCTTCATTATTTCCTCTCACACAACTGAACTGAATTTCTCATTGAAAGATTCTCGTCTGAAACCCAATTTTTTTTTTTTGAAATCTAACAGGGTTTTATTATCCTGAATGTTTCAGTCGTACGGCGCCGTGTTTTGTTATTCTTGTTTAATTTTTGACAAGCACATTAGTTCTCTCTGTGATCTTCCATTGGCACAACCGTGTTGTGACATTTTATATTATTGTGTGTTGAACATTTGTTTTATGTGATGCTTTAGTTTAAAGTTAAGTCGGCCAACAAAGAACCAACAAGTTAATGTTTCACCAAAAGTCATTTATTCAGAATTGTGTTTCGTGCCAAACAGTGCTGTGACTGTTTATGTCCCGTCCATGTTCTCGTTCTTTGTTTATTTTTGTTAATGCTTTCATCCTGTCTTGATTTAGTTTTCTCTTCTCTGATTTCATTTAATTTGATTGTAATGTAAATTTGTTTTATTTTATATGTTTGTGTTGTGTGTAGCTGATTTGAATTATTTTACACCCCTGGGATGATGTAGAGAGGTGTAAAGTAAATGTTGATTGGTTGAGTGAAAGCCATCAATAAAAACAAGCTTCCATTAGTAAAGAAATTATTTCCTACCAAGTTAATTTGTGTAAGATTAATAGGTATTTTGTGCAGTTTAAGGCAGTCATCAAAAAGTAGGTTTTTACTTTGCAAACCATAACTGTCTCCTAACACAGGTTCTGCTACAAATGTTCCCAAAAGGATGAATTTGTAGAAGGAAATCACAAAAACAAATAAAAAAATAAATAAATTAAAAAAAATATTCATTGTTCATCGATCATTTTGTCTCAAATCAGACTTTTTAAATTCATATTTTTTTCTTGTTCATTTTAAAAAATGATATAAAAAATCACAAAATAAAACATTGCTGGAAAATGATTTGATCGCCTCGTTCACCAACGGTGATATTTACTTCCTATTTATTGCTAACAGAAGGAAAACCACCCACGTCAAATAAAAGCAATAATGAGACGGTGCGTGTGTCTGTGTCTCCCTGTCTGTTTTATGACTCCAGCAGAGGGACCGACACCAGTTCCGGGTTGCAGTTTCACACTTCCAGCTGCCAAAATTAAAGTCATGTGTTGAGAGGATTGGGAGGAAGATTTTATTGGTCAGGTGTCTGCTGCTGCTCCATTTATGCAATTGGTTTTTTTGTTTTTTTTGTTTTTTTTTTTATGTTAAGGGAACATTTTTATAACCCAGCTGCATCCAGAGCTCGCACCGTCCGGGTGACATTTGGGGACACATAAAAATGTGTTTATAGCTGTGAATGTCTGGCTGGTAAATATATTTATAGTAATTGGCTAAAATAGTGGGTCGGAGGAGCGTTGAGCAAAAATACAGAGGTTTGATGAGCTAAAGGCTAAAGTTAGCGCACGTAGAATCTAAAGGAAGTGACACTACAGTAACTTATTTTAATAGAAACAAGAAATCACACGTTACATACTGCAGCAAAGTCAAGTCTGTAAATTTGACTGTTGTGAATGGAGGCACATTAACAGTACACCATGTGACTTCTCTCACAGTCCACAACAAGGGTCAAAATTAAAACAACTCAAGCATGGCTCGATCCAGTACTCTGGATCCACATCAGGCTGTTGTATTTCAGGATTAAATTTTGAGAAAAAAAACTATAGTTCATCTGATCTGATAGCTAAACCCAAATGATCAACTAAACCTTGTGTAACATGCTGTAAACAACTGGAAAGAAAGACCGGAGGAGAAACGAAGGTATTGGATGGATTTGGTATCAGAAGATACACCAAGTAGCAGTATCGGTATTGGACATGAAAAAATTGTACCGATTCATCCCCAATAACAAGAGCAAATTTAACAACTTGCATATTATATATGGATATTAAAAAAAAAAAAAAAGACCGGTAACCAGTTTAAGTCGTTGCCTTTCCAACTGATTGTCACTGAACTGTTTTTGAAATTTCAATCCTTCCATTGTCCATCAGCAACAGTTGGGTTAGAGAGAAGTTTAGATGTTTCTCTGTGTTAACAAGTGTTGTCTGTCTCTATGAATCACACATGCTGACCTTTCAGTAAAGCCAAGGCTATCACCAACAGGAGACTGGCTTATGATCGCTGGAAAGGACACTCACTAATAGACTCAACGTGCACCGTCACACACACACACACACACACACACACACAGCAGGATGGTTTGTGTACCCGTCTGTATCAGTCTGCCTCCACAATTCAATTAATGGATTCAACCTTTTTGGACCTCCTCTATTGCCACACAATTTCAGGGAACCAGGAACCATTCATCTACCAACAATTCTATTAAAGAGACAGATGGTAGTTTGAATTATACATCAGTTCTTAGTAGGATGATGAATACTGTAAATTAGAGTTGGTTGATTTTGAAAAGCAACTGCACATTTCCCAAGAACGTGATGGGTCTCAGGAGCTACAGGGAGACAACACAGAAACGTTCACTCTAAAACGGTGCATTTAGCATCCATGATTAATGAAAAGTAAAGAACGAAAGAAAGGCATCGGGGAAACATAGCTTGTTGAAGGCAATCTGGGCAAATGTTTCCCAGCTGAAAACCTATTTCTCTCTGCCCACGTCACATGATTCTCACATCTAGCTCCACCAGCTTTGTTTCTGAATATGGGCCTTGTTTCAATTATTGTTTTTAAGATTTGTGGATGTTGTAAAAAACAAAATGGAGATGGGGTGAAATAGAGGCAGATGACAGGCTGTGACTACCCCTGAAGAGAAGAAGAAGAAGAAGAAGAAGAAGAAGAAGAAGAAGAAGAAGAAGAAGAAGCCATTTTGTTTTTTAGAGAATACCAGACCTTGACAGTTCTGAAATAATGAATCGATGTGAATAAAATGTATTATAATTATTAGGGTTGGTTCGATCCAATACTCAGGATTAGCATCAGTTTGCTATTAGTCATAATTTAAGGATCCAACATCAAAAAAAATACCGATACCTACAGTAAGTCCAAATACTCAAGGTAACTTTGCGCGAGAAGTTGCAGTATCAGTATCACACATGAGCCGTGAGTATTGAGCCAACCCTAATTATGATTAATTATGTATACTCTTATCACAAGGTAAATGTGACAAGTAGACGCAGTCTTTGCCCCGCCATTAAAATATTCCCTGAAATATTCAGTTAACGTTGTTTTACCCATAACTCCATTCATATCAAGGTTTTTACAGCAGTCTAAGTCTGATCTTAAAGTCCTGGGACAAATGGTTTATTTTCTCAAAAACCAAGAGGCGAAGTGGAATCGACCCAACAAACAGCAGCAGTAGCAGAAAAAACACGGATTTTTCCATTATCAAGTCCACGTTTGTCATGGTTTCCTCAATGATTGAATTTGGTCCAAATATGATCCAGACCTCCTTTCTTTGACCATAAAGACCCCCCTCCTGTTTCTCAGATGAGGTCTCTCATCTCTCTTGGCGTAGTGACTCTCCGCGGGACTAAAAGTCTGGGGGCATCAGCGTAATCCTCCACGAGTGCGTCTCGAGGTTCAGTGGTGGTCATGTTTAGTGTATCCTGGTGTGTGTCTCGGTGTGTAGATCTGCTCCCGGCCATCACTTCCATCATATTAACTTCCATTATTCATGTGAGAAGAATAATAACACTCGCAGGTCTCCCTTTGTGGCTTCAGATATTACTGTTAACCCTTCAGCAAACACACACACACACAGACACACACAGTGCAATGATTAGGTCTCCTTGGACAATAGCTACCCCTGAGAGACACACATAAAGGATGCCCTCGTCCATATGATGTGTTGCATGGAGACAAAACTGGAAAAATATACTCATAGTCACACATACAGTGAGATTCATCCAGATATGAGGTAGGAATGGGACAATAGGACAACCAGGCTGGACTGTATCAGCTGGTCTCAACGTCCGTGGTTACAGAGATGACAAGAAGTGAAGCTAAGGTTAAAAAAAAAACAAAAAAAAAAACGATGGATAACAGAAGCACTAGTTGAGATGGTTCGTCCGGGGAACCTACGATGTAAATGTCCAAACCAAAGGAGCAGCGGCTCTACTCCGAGCTCCTCCCCCGGGGGACAGAGCTCCTCACCCCGTCTCTAAGGGAGCGCCCTGCCACCCTGCAGAGAAAGCACATTTCGGCCGCTTGTATCCGGAAGAATATGTTATAATATATTTAATATTTTTTTCAGCCTGATGGTTTAGATGCATGTCTGAAATGGACATGTTTAAAATGTGGTTCAAGGACCGACTATAGCACATCCACTATTTGAAGCTTGTTTTTAATTATCTGTCTGGTTTTCATTCTACTAATGAAGGCTTAGGTTTGG